TCTTACGGACATCCAACGGGTGAGTGCTCGTTGCAGAGGTCCCCGATGTGGAAGGCTGGGTAAGAGTAGGAAGTTCGATAGGAGCTGTCACATGGAAAGCGTGATCGATTTTGGACGGTAAGTATTCGGGAGGCGAATACTGACACGATCTGGATGGAACACAGTCAGCGCCGGGTCTGCCGACATAGCATGTAAGTCGCCAACCCTTCGCCCAGATGTTACCGCCACCAGAAATATGGCCTTCCATGTTAACAGCTGAATGGAAATAGCCGATAGACGTGAGAACGTAGGACCGGACAGCCAATCTAGCACGATTGACAAATCCCAAGGTGGGCTGGTTCGCCTGACAGCAGGTCGAACCCGATCCACGCCAGCTAAAAAGCGCTGCATAAGAGGGTGCTGCCCCAGAAGAGCACCATCGACAGGGGTGTGGAAAGTGGAAATAGCGGTGGAGTAGCCACGAATGGTCGAAGCCGCCAAGCCTTCTTCCAAACGAGCTTGCAAAACTCCAATACTCGGACTAAATCCGCAGAAAAGGGATCTGCAATCCCCTATCTGAACACCAGCATGCATAGCGGGACCACCTATCCTCATATTGAACGTTTGTCGAATCCCGCCTCGAAGCCAGAATTGTGTCTGCAACTGCTGCAGGAATTCCGCGTGCTTCGAGGCTAGACCTGACAGAGGCCAAGCCACCCACTGAATCCTTGGATTGGGGTATGGCGCGCCGTTCTGAGTGAGAATGTCCGGTCGCAAAGGTAATAGAACAGGAGGCTGAGCCAGAAACCTGAGAATTACCGGAAACCAGCTCTGTGACGGCCATAGCGGTGCCAGTAGCACAAGTAGCCGAGCTGGCTGGGTGGACAGCTGGGAGAGGACCCGGGGAATGAGTGGTAGAGGCGGAAACGCCCACAGCACCTTGCCCGTCCAATCCAGCAGGAAGGCGTCGGAAGCCAACGCCCTCTGGTCCGGTATTCGAGAGCAGAACACGGGTATCTGATTCGTCCCGCCGGACGCAAACAGATCCACCTGGAACGATCCGTACAACTGGGAGATAACTCTGAATATCTGCCGGTCGAGCATCCACTCGTGCGGGGCCAGGATCCGGCGAGAGAGAGCGTCTGCTCGCACGTTCTCCAGCCCCGGGAGATAAACAGGAATCACCTGACAGTCGCACTGGTCGCACCAGAGGAGAAATTCCCACGTCTCCCGAAGGAGCGCTAGGGACACCGTGCCGCCTTGCTTCAGGATGTACGTCATGGCCGTACGGTTGTCCAACTGAAGACGAACCACCTGGCCCTGAACATGCTCCCGGAAGCGCTCGAAAACCAACCGCACAGCTCTCAGTTCTAAGACATTGATGTGAAGGCGGGCCTCTGGCTTCGGACCAGAGTCCGGACACCGACAGACTGCCCAGAACACACACACACCCCCCAGCCCGTGAGGGACGCATCGGTTTGAACTGTAAGAGCTGGCGTCGGGATTTCCAAAGGGATCCCCTTGGAGAGATTCCCGACATTGGTCCACCACTGAAGGTGAGGAGACAACCACCCGGGGACTGTGAGACACTTCTCCAGATCCTCCGAGTGAGCCCACAGACTCGCCAAAGCTTGCTGTATAGGGCGCATCCTCAACCGCGCCCGCCACACTACAGAGATAGTTGCCGCCATATGACCCAGTAGACGGAGCCAAGTCCGCGCTGGTGCCTGGGGCTGGGAGAGGAACGAAGACACCATCTCCCGTACTCTGGTGACCCGGTCGGGCGACAAAGAGACAAGACCCTTGTGAGTTGTGAACCGCGCCCCGAGAAAAACCAAGTCCTGGGTGGGTACCAGGTCGGATTTCTTGAGGTTTATGATCCACCCCAGTCGAACTAGAATGTCTATCACCGTGTGGGTAGAATCTAGGCTCGCTGGCTGAGTTAGAGCGCTGAGCAACCAGTCGTCTAGGTAAGGGTAACAACGCCTTCCTTGCGACCTTGCGAGGGTAGCCGGCACTAACATGAGCTTGGTGAACACCCTGGGGGCAGTGGATATGCCGAAGGGGAGCACCGTGAATTGGTAACACATCCCGTCGTAAGAGAACCGGAGGTACTGCTTGAACGATGGATGAATTGGCACATGTAGATACGCATCCTTTAGGTCGATCGACGTAAGCCAATCGCCGGGCTGAACAGAGGAGATCACCGAGCGAAGTGTCTCCATCTTGAAGGATGGAACCTCTAACATGCGATTCAACCCCTTGAGGTTGAGAATGGGACGGAACCCGCCGTCCTTCTTCGGAACGAGGAAGTACGTGGAATAAAACCCCGCCTGTTCCTCGCCCGGTGGTATGCGCTCTATTGCGGACTTGTCCAGCAAAGCCTGAACTTCGTCGCAGTATACCCGCCTTGACCGGACATGACGGCACCGGAGTGCGCCTTATGCCGGTGAACTCTGGCGGGCCTCGCTTCCACAGTGGTAGATGGCCGACACTGATGGTGGATAGCACCCAAGTGTTGCTGGTAGCCTTCTCCCACTCTGGTAGGAACAGAGAGAGGCGGCCTCCCACTGGGACGTGTGGTAAGAGTGCGTGAGTGGTCCCCTGCAGATGAACTGGCTGTGACGAACCCATGGTGACAGCCTGCAGGTTTAACGGGAGGTCGGGGCAGACCCCCGCGACCGCGAAAAGGCTGCTGGGAGCCAGACGAAGAGGCCTGCTCCTTGCCCTTATCTTTGGCGGGACGGCTCCTCCTCCTACCTCTACCCAGCGGCCGAAGCCAGACGGCAGACTCGGGCGTAGGCTGCGCCCCAGAAGCCCGCAATAGCCCCAACAAGGCCTTCGGGAAGATCGAACCTGAGGCGAGAACCATCACGTCCTGCACCAGGGAGGGCAAGATGCGGAGCTGTGTCTGAGAGGGCTGCCGAGTCAAAGCTACATGTCGGCACCGCGACTTGGGGAATATACTGGGCAATACGTTGCCTAACCTCCCGGAAAGATGACGAAAAACGGAAAGTACCCTCCGACTCCTCGACCTCCCCAACCTCCTTAGACTCAGCACCTGAGCCCGTGTCAGAATTCGGATCTCCACGTGAAGAGGAGCCGAACCCCAACTCGGTGGGAGGCTGAGCCACAGACGCCGCGTGAAGGGAAGAGCCAAAGGAACTCTCAGCTCCGGTAACCGACACTACACTCGAACCCCGGTCTCGAGACACGGGAGGAAGCCCGGACAGAACCGGCTCCTCCGCTCTCATGGGGCAGGATGGCGCAGGGACCGGAACCCCAGGAATCCTCAACGGACCCTGCGCCAACACCGAGAGAGGGACTGGGAGCGAACCCAAAGCCAAAGGCAAAGGAGCCGAGCCGAGCCGATCCCACCCCCGGATTCTCGGTCCCCCGATCAGAGTGGGAGACGAACTCCTGCCGGAGACCTCCAACTGACTTGTGAACGAGGGACTTCCATATGCTGCTGAAACAATTGAGTGATAAGTGACATATCAAAACCACTGGACGGAGACGGAGAGTGTGACCTATGTGAAGACTTAGATTTAGTTTGCTTAGCCTTTTTGGCCTTGGACGGGGGAACCTCCTGGGTCAAGTCCCCTCCCGCCTCACGCAATTCCTTATAAAAAAGGAAGTCAGCCACCCGTCTCTTCTGGGCCCAGGGGGAGAAGCCCATGCAAAACTCACAAATGTCAGGGTTATGCCCTGCCTTCTCCAGGCAGCATAAGCATTTGTCATGCTTATCGGAACAGGGAATATTTTGCCCGCAGGCAGCACATCCCGTAAACGCCTGAAAGCAAACACGCAAGCTTGTAGCTAATGGCGTAACCCAACAGCTTAAATATACACGTACAAAACATTGAAAATTACGTGAATGCGACAACGCGACATGGTTAATAACCACTTGGTGAATAACGCCATATTTCAACCACATGGCACACTAAACTTCTCACCATGGAATAGCAACACGTGCGTAAACCATGGAAAAGCAAGCGTAAAAGTTTAATACAAAGTCACAAAAATGAGAAATAACAGACTGCAAAGTCCATAAAACGTTTCTCAAAACGAATAAAGACCATACATACAGTTGTTGAAGTCTCAGACATTCTTCTACAAGAAGTAAGTCAGCTAGTAACTCTTGGGTAAATACGTGTGAACGATAGAGTAACAGCAGAAGGAATGATGATACGGGCCTAGGTGCTTACCTGGTTGGCTGCGCATGTGTAGCAGGGAGGTAATTCCACGTGGTGGGGGCCATATAATAAATAAAAAAGATTTTATTTATTGTACAATCATCTTATTAAAACATTGATACAACTGTCACATGACATTTTCAGCTGCAGAAAATGCATATATGTACCCCAAGGACGATCTCTATGAAAAGAATTCACATGGGCACAATGTGTTAAGCCCATTTCTGGTGTCCCCCGCCGTGATATTGCTGGAATATTGCTAAAAGCGGTGTAAAACTAAACTCAGTCAGTCAGTCAGTCAGTTTAAACCAAATTCTTCAGTCCAAATAGTTTTAATAGTTAGTATTAGACACAATATCCCTGCCTGGACAATCCTCCCAAAAGGTAAGATCACCAATGGTGAAATATCATGTCAATCTGTTTAGGCAACTGCATGAGAATATCCCACTCTAAACATTGTGGAAAACTCACAAAAAGTTAGTTGTTCCATCAGGACAATGCAAATGATAAAGACTTCCTCTACTGTGGATACCGCCAGGAGGAAGTTCACCAGTTGGATTCAGACTCTCAACCCTTGTGGCTCCTCCCTACCCCAACTTTACACTTCACGGTTTCCCTTTTCAAGTGGTATGTGAAAGACTTTGGTATCAAAGAGTGAGTTGAGATAAATCACTGGTATTTCAAGAGCAGTAACATCATTCACTTCAATTTCTTATTGGGATGACTTTGCATAAAACTTCAAAAACAGGCCTGCACCTTCCTCTCATAATCAAATTAATCCAGTACAAAAAGATACCGTCTGAACATTTTGACCCATGTACTTACCCAGCCCGAAAGCCCCTGTCGGTATGGGTCATCTTCACACAGACATCTCTGTTGCCAGACGCACGAACACCATCAAGTAAAGATGCAATCAGTGCATCTCTGAAAACAAATACAATCTGGTGAAATTACATGGCACTGTATTAGTAGCTTAAAACTGACCTTCACATTGTCAATAACTGAATAAACTTTCTTGGTATAATAATATCATGAGTTTGGGAAGACCAAGTTCAAACGGAAACTTCCATGTCTCTAGTCCAGGGATACATTATGGTTTGCCAATATTCAATCCCAAGTCTGATACAAAAGTAAAACAATTTCCCAAACTGTAATCAATGTATTTCTCTGTGAATGTCTTGTATAAGAGATGACATGTTTATCACTGATGAGATGACTTGTAAAGCGAGCAGGTATAATTTACCTTTATTGCATTGAATGAATGTGAAAATAACTCAGAAAATAAAGCTTCTTAAAAAACATAAGTCTTTAACAATATATAAACTTCTCCTTTTCTTAGTAAAGGGCACTTACTTTGGAATACCTTACAAACCACCTTATTAACAGAGTCAAGTGCTTCAAAGTCATATCAGATTTATAACAACACATAACAAAAGTAACTTTGAAACATCTATCCCTTTAACACCCTTACGGATAACTTTAGGAACACTTCAAGGTTAATGAAATGCCTTCCTGTTTGAAAAACATACATTCAATACTGTACAAGAAAGTTTCACGCCTACCAACTAACCTAATGAAATAGTTGTGAACACCTTCAAGGATTTTGGAGGAGGAGGGATGAATTCATGTTTTGACAATAAGCTTTCTGATAACATTCATTGGAGGTTTACAAGAATTTTGTCTTCCCTTCTGACAAGGGGTACTTCATTGCAATTCAGAAAAGACAACCTAGAAAGAATAGATTCTGATAGAGAGATTCAACACTACAAGTACTCAACCAGCCGCAGTAACATTTACATCTTCTACTCCATGTTTAAAGTAACTTAATTCACACTGGAAGCTTAATGATAATACTGCCATAAGTACTACCTACCGATCTGTTGACAGATAGTTTCTTATTGCACCTTTCACATACTCCACAGAAAATTTCTGTGGATTCTCTTGGTCACGAACAATTGCAAAAATCTGAAAACAAATAGAAAAAACATTTGGGAATTTAGGCAAAAGTATTGTTAGGAGTGTTCCGAATATTTCTTTACACTAAAATAATAAACTAAACATGATAATATTTATTTCTAACACTAAACCTAGGAACTAAATGAGATAATGCTTGTTCCGGAGAATGTAGGGCTGGGACGGGTAGAAAAAAATGGAATCGAGTACCCGCATGTTCTTACCCGAATCGGAATCGAGTACCCGGAAATGTAAGGAATACAACGCTTCTGTTAACTCTCTGAATATTCAGTCACGATTTGACAGATTATTATAGAAAACATGAAAGGATGGCAATAAGACATTGAAACTGATCTTAGACTAATTTATTTAATTTACGTCTGTTTAACTGATATAAAGAGCAACACCATTACTAACTTACATTCCACTGTGACATGACAACTCATTGCTCATGTGCTGATAAATTACAGTCGCTAATAATAACCTCCATTAACCGGACAATACCAAAGATGTAATTAAATGTGTGTTACGTCAATGAAAAAAGGCAATTTATTCTGTTGTTGAACTACATTCAGATGTGATATTTAACTGAACCTATTATGTTTTACATGGGGACTTTATGTAAAATTACATAGAATAAAATTTGATTGATGTATTTGCTGACAGGAGAATTCTATAGGAGATATACAGACCGGCAAACTGTAATGCAATTGAGTTAAGCAACACAGCAAAATGCTTCACGCGCATGAGGGAAGACTGGTCATTTTGCTCTGTTGCGCAACTCAGTTGCATTACAGTTTGTCTATCATACATTACAGAGTACAGACAAATACAGGGCCGTGAATAATTCATTAACCTTAATTAAAATTGTATCCTTATAGAAGATTATTAAAAGTCGCATTAAAATACTTTTGTTTGAATGTAGCGACAAAGAAATGTATCTAAATGATATATTTTTTACGTTTAGATAAACCAAAACAGCACAAAACTATAGTTATTTAAATATTCTAAATTTGTATATCAGTGAACATTGCGTGTGTGCATTGGAATAACTGTATGCTGATATTATATGTTAAACTATAAAATGTATAGTAACTGAATGGTATTATGTGTGATCTAAGTGAGCTGTGCTTCTATATATTTCTGATTATCTTTCTTCTTATTGTCATGATAATCAGTCGTACATTGAATTTGCAAAAAGAATGTGCTATTTCAATAAAAATTCGTTTAATTATGTTAATTTATTAGTTTTAACTGATATTCCCAACACCTACAATCATTTAATTACATTCTCTTTTATGGTGAATGTATTCAGCTTTGACGCAGAAGTAAAATATGTCTCATGAAATTGAAATGAAATATGAACCAAAGACAACATTCAATGTAGTCTTAACAGCTTTTTATGAACTAACTTAATAAGCAACTAGAGTTACACAATGTAATGAACACCTTCGTGTTTTACGTTGTGTTTTAGAGCAAGTTGTTTGTGCATTAAACTTGTACTGCTTCTGCAATAAATAGCATGGTACACACAGTCGCCATTTGTTTCTGCCATTTGCATCAAGTTCGAAATGAGCCCTAATTCTCAACTTAGCACTTTTGCTCTAGGTTAGAGTTACATGCCCTTGACATTACAGAGTTCTCTCCCTTTCCGGGTACTCGATTCCTTGAAATAGGACTCGATTCCAGCTGTACCCGACCCGGATTCGAGTACCCGAGTATCCGTCCCAGCCCTAGGAGAATGATCTATGACAAACGAGTAACTGAATATGTACCAGTATCAGTAAGTCTGTTAATGTCTAAAAAATAAACTAATTTCAACATACTAACCACTAGTGTCAATTTGACGTCTTGTCCTTACTAATGAACAATCTGACTGATTTCAAACATGCCTAGTTCTGGGTGACGGTTTGACACTTGCAGTCAATTCTTGGGCAGTTAGTCCTGAAAATTTCAGTTTTGCTTTATTGTTATGACTGTACCAACAAGCACTTAAACTACAGCTGTGTTTTATCAGTGTTATCACCAGTGGTAATATAAAACTGAGCCTTACAATTGCTGTGTGCTGCAATAGTCTCAATATTTGGACAGAACAGATTTTTCACAGAATGAGAAGGAAGGATTTGTCCTGAACAATTTACAGGAAGATTTTTTTACATACTCCAGGAATTCTCTGTTCAATGACTCTACTTTTAATTTGATATCGAATCCTGTATAAAATCTCTGGATATACTCTTGTGATAGGTCAAATTTCTTCACTATTTCTTTGTATTAGTATGAGCTGGGTGTTCCACTGGCTGGCCACTGACATTGACAACCACTCTATTCAACCTTCCTAACCTTGTGGAGACACATTAACAAGCAGGTTCTCTTAAAGAACAATTGTTCTCACATGTGAGCCCACAGAGTAAGCTGGTTAGTTTCCCAAGCAAGCAAGAGATATGAGTGAGTGAGTTTAGTTTTACGCCGCTTTTAGCAATATTCCAGCAATATCACGGCGGGGGACACCAGAAATGGACTTAACACATTGTGCCCATGTGGGGAATCGAACCCGGGTTTTCGACGTGACGAGCAAACGCCTTAACCACTAGGCTACCCCACCGCCCCGCAAGAGATATGAAGGTCGATGCCCACGTTGCCTCTTGTGGCTGCTGAGACCGATCTGTGAAAGGCTGGTGTGACCACAGAAGCTGCAGCTGAAGGTTGTCTGGTATGGGTTTGGTGCTGCCATTTCCCTGTTCTTCCTCCTGCTATTTTTTTTCTTCAACGCCAGCTCTACAGTTTGTCTCGAGGGAAGAGACACTCTGATGGACTGTGTTTCTCCAGGTTTGACCATTGACAGTTATGTTGGTCCATTGGCTGTGGTCAGTTTCAAAGGAGCTGAGGTTCTTCTTCAGAGAATCTTTGTATCTCTTCTTTGGACCCCTCTGTCACGATGGCCAGGACAGTTCTTCAAAAGGTGTTTCCAGCAGGGTTCCTCCATTCTGACAACATGCCCTAGCCTGTACAACTGCCCTTTTAACAGCATGGTCTCGATGCTGATGGTGTCACCTGTTTAAGTACCTCAACACTGGTAACATAGTCTTTACAATATAAGATGTAGCATTGTGATGAGGGGTATATGGGGTTTTTATGCCCAGTATACCCTGAATCATAACACTACAACGAATTTATCTTAGCGAATGTTTAAATCTCTCATTATGTAGACATAACATTAAAACAAACTGAAATTCAATCATATATTTTAGTAATATGATACTGACACATCCCTATTGGGCGGTGTACGGCCATGCACCGAGCATACATGGTAATTTGTTCAAGGTCACGTGGCATTCTTACATGAGGTAAGAAAATGGATGTTGAGAATAGAACAAAGACAGCGCTGCTGGTGAAAGAGCTCAAGGAGTCGCAGATGGTGATGTTAGATGTACAGGAAGGTAATTACACTTGAATCTTTGTGATTGATCATCATGCTGAAAAAGATGGTGAAGAGGGATGGTCCCTAGATGCTTACATATCCACACAACGATTACACCACGGAGGCGGTCTCATTTATCTTAGAAGTGAAGAAAGTTGATTCAAGGTGCAGAATACAATAAATGCTAATGCCTACCACTCACAAGGTGCCAATTTAGACCCGGACTGTCAACAACAACAAATAATCCATCCAAATTACTTGTCGACAGTCCGGGGAAAGGGAGATGATGTTCCACATGAGTGACTTCACGCCGTGTTCTCGAACTTAACAAACCAATTAAAAACAGAGTGCGATATATATAGTAGACAATATATTTATTTAGTCAATATAACAACATGTATGTATCATATGTCACACAGTATAACACATTTGTATATATAGTTCATAAATCTCACACAATATATTTAGATATAGATACAGATATATATTACATAAGTCAAATAGGTGTGTAACATTTGAGAATTGTGATGATTCATAAAGTCCAATTCAGTAATCTGAATGTTCAGCCAAGATGAAGCAACTCTGACACATAGTCTGTGTAGTGCAGTAAGTCTGTCGGCAAAAAGGTCGGCCTTCAAGGATTGAATTCTAGCATCGATGATTCGGTAGCGACGTTTGCGGACGGGATCTCTGCTGTCCTTGGATCTGCTGAATTTTAACTTCAGTAGGTGACTGTTCTTTTTGCAGCATTCGCACAACCTCAAACATATTCGGATGTGTCTTTATGGCATACTTGTTGATTTTGTTGTGCCAACCTTCCCAAATTATTGTTAGTTCTGTGTCCATCATTTTCAAAATGATTCCAAGTTGGCAGAGTCAACAGACCTTCTGTCCAGGTGGTAGTAACGTAATCCATTAGCTGTGTCGCCTTCTCACCTAGTGGTGCGTCTGCAATGGCATCAAGCCAAACATCTTCAACTTTATCCTCTGGCACTAAAGGGAGAGCTGCAGCTCCACGCCCTAGTCTTTTCACATTGTTGTCTGACTTGTACTCTGAAGCAAGGCCTACTTTCTGTGTGCGATGCCGGATGCACTGGGTGTAATGAAAGAAGCAGCCACAAAGCTGAGTATTTGGAAATACAAAACTGGCAGCGTTGTGAGATGCACGTTCAAACTCAATATTGTCAATCAGTGTAACGCGCACCATAGCATTTGCCATTTTGACAGTGATAACAAAATATTCCTGATCTATTATATATACCCAAATAATTTATAAATGTTTTCAACAGGATTTCAATAATCCTTCTACTCCCAATATCACAACATAATTCCAGGTTGTTGTTTTTTTTTGCATGTTAAACTCCAAAATGGTAATCCTTCCACTTGCATAACATAAAATAATAGTCTGTTTGCAGCCTTAATTCTCTTACAAATTGTTAAATAGATTAACTTAATTCATTTACGCAAGATACGCGCAAAGCCAAGAGCAAATCACTAAGCAAGCATTCTCTATAATTAATTAACACTGTCACGGTATGTTGACCATGCGATGTCGACATTCCGGGTTTTTATTCTGTCGACGGTTAGCAACATC